CCTTTCTTCCTTGCTTCCCTTCCTCCTTCCTTCCTTTTTCTCTCCTTTCTTTCCTTCCTTCATCGCCAGAAGGGGCCCTCGAATCCCACAAATATAATATGACTATTGTTCTTGGGGAAAACGGTAAAGTTATTAACTAGTAGAGGACTATGTATGGATGCGCTGAACTGTATCACCAAAGTTCTGGTGATGTGTGTGTAGGGGGGGAATGGGCCTAGAAAGAAGGGGAGAGAAAAGCCTGGAAGCTTGTAGCATAGATGACAACACTGTACCTTAACTGTCGCTTGTTCTTGAGGAAAAGTGTGATTGCTGAAACAGGAAATATTGCACCAGAACTTCTGTGATTATTTTTTTTAAAAAAGCTTTTTTTTCAGGAAGACGAAAATTCAATATACATACAAAACCATACACTTGCTAATAGATAATTGCACAACTTTGCTTTGAGCTACAAGACTGATTCTGGAAAAATACAAATATTATGCAAGCTGCTCTATCAGAGAGCATAAATTAATTATAAATGAATAGTTGATATGTGTAAGTTGATATGGTCAATACACTGTGTCCATTTGACTCCTGCCCAGGCTGGGGCTCTGCATGTATGTGGTGACAGCTGGCAATCCCACGTGGAGAGTGCTCTTGGGGGCGGGGAAGGCAGGATGAGTGGACAGAAGAGGCTGAGGGGGCTGCTCTGAGCACCAAAGCACAACGTTTGCTACACTATTTAAAAATTTAAAAGAATTCATAGGCTTCTTGAAACTCATCCAGGGACCCCATGTTAAGAAAAACAAAAGCTAGACAGAAGTCTTTCTTCCATGGAAAACGGCATCATAAATCACTCACATCAACAAGTCCTTAATAGAAAAAAAAAATGAAAACGATGTTTGGTAATTTTGGTTTTAATTAAAAAATTAAACTTTGTTATGTTGAAAAGTTAATCTTGTTCAAATGCTATCACGTCCTAGGAAAAGTGGTGAAGAAAGCAGGAGTTTAAAGATCCATCAGAAAGGTTCTCAGGACTGCCCTGGTGGTCCAGTGTTAAGAATCCTCCTTCCAATGCAGGGGACTTAAGTTTGATCCCTGATCAGGAAGCTAAGATCCCACATGCCGTGGCCTACTCGACTTTGTAGAGCCCGCTGTCTCTAGAACCCATGTGCCATAACTAAGACCCAATGCAGCCAAATGAATGAATATTAAAAAAGAAAGAAATGACATTAAAAAAAAAAAAAGAAAGGTTCTCATTCTACCAGGACAAGAGACTGGATCCCCAATCCTGTTGTGTGACACTGCCAGCTGCAATCAGAATTTTTTTTTTACCAAAGTAAATCAGCAAAGAGTTATGGGGAAAAAAAGTAAACAAACCCAGGTTATCTGATTCCAAAGCCTGCTTTTATTTTTTTTTTTTCAGTTTACCACAAGTACCAAATTAGGCAGATCTTTTAGTTGCTTAATAACTATAATTAAATTGTTGAACTATAATCAAGGGGTATAATTTAAAAACAAAATCATTGCATTCACATTCTCAGAACTGTGCTGAAGGGAAGGCTTAGGAAGAAGGAAAAAAACCATATTCTGGTCATGGAAAAGGGACATAGAGACAGGCAGCGAGTAGGACAGAGCCGTCTGTGATGAAAGGGAGAGAGCTGTAGCTACATGTCCAAGTGTGCAGACCTGGCAACCCCTGATGGCTTCCTGGCAGAGGCCATGATAGGACCTTCAAGGCCAAGGAGGGTTTGTTGGCTGGAAAAGAAGTGGCTAAGTGTGTCCTTTCTCTTTGCCAAGCCTGAGGCTTCTTGTCTGCCACATAAAGGGGTGAAAACAGATTCCTCTGAGGGCCATTCCAGCTCTAAACTCTAAGACTGGTCAACAGAAGAGTGGATAAAGAAGATGTGGTACATATACACAGTGGAATATTACTCAGCCATGAAAATGGACCAAATAATGCTACTTGCAGCAACATGGTTGGACCTAGAGATCATCATATTGAGTGAAGTAAGTCAGAGAAAGATAAATATCATATGGTATCACTTACATGTGGAATCAAAAAAATGGTACAAAAGAATTTTTCTTTACAAAACAGAAATAGTCACAAGTACAGAAAACAAACTTATGGTTGGGGTAAACTTAAGTCGGGGGAAGGATAAACTGGGAGATTGGGATTGACATATACACACTACTATACATAAAATAGATAACTAATAAGGGCCTACGTGTAGCACAGGGAACTTTACTCAGTACTCTGTTATGACCTATATGGGAAAAGAAGCAAAAAAAAGTAGATATATGTATAATCGATTCACTTTGGTGTGCACCTGAAACTAACACAGCATTGTGAATCAACTATGTGTGTGTTAGTTGCTCAGTTGTGTCTCTGCGACCCCATGGACTGTAGCTCACCAGGCTGCTCTGTCCATGGAATTCACCACGCAAGAATACTGGAGCGAGTAGCCATTCCCTTCTTCAGGGGATCTTCCCAACCCAAGGATCGAACTTGGGTCTCCTACGTGGCAAGCAGATTTTTTACTGTCTGAGCCACCAGGCAGGGAAGTCTATACTTCCATAAAAATTAAAAAGTTCCAAGACTGCCCAGAGGAGCAGTATAAGCAGAGGCCCTGAGACTGGATTGATCCACAGTGAACTGACGGCTCACCCAGGAGTCCTGCCAGCTCAGAGCAGTGGGTATGTCTCAGGAGATTAGAGGAAAGACTCCTGAAATGCTAAAGCAACTGAACATGGTGCTCTGGGCAGTGGGAGCCAGTGTAGGTCCTAGAGGAGGGGGGTAGTCATACGTTTAATTATTCCTCCTCTCACCACTCCCTCTGCCCATTCCTTTCTGCCTTGCTGAGCTCTGGCGCTGAGCTGGTCATGTTCATCTGCCCCTGGGGACCTTCAGCTCCACCAGGTTCCCGAGGTTTCCCCTCCTACTGTCTCTCCTATTGCCCTCCAGGTCCAGTTGCCTGCTGCAGCTAGTCTTTGGATGTCCTTAACTTTGTATTGCCAGGAAAACAAAGCAAAACATGATTTCCCATTAGATTTGAACTTTAGAGAAATAACTATTACCTGGAAACAGTGGTTTGCCTCTTGATGGGCATTGAGTCAAAAGACAACTGAGTCAAAGATCAGGAGAAGGAAAGATTTATTACTACTTGCAGCAAGCAAGGAAAACATGGAAATCTTTCCCAAAGCAATGGTTCCCTGAACAGTAAGACTGGGGAAGTTTTAAGCTAAGGGTACATGTTCATTCATGAAGGAGTTTGGGCAGTAGGCAGAGTCCAAGCTTTAGTTTATTGAGGTCCTGAGGGTCATAAAATGCCAACATCATCGTCCTTTAGGTTCCTGTTGATCTGGTGGTTGAGCGACCAAGTGGGGATTGAAATTCTTCAAAACAGCTCAAGACAGTCCTTTAGGCTAGTTTTCACCATTGAAACAGAACTGAGCCCTTACAAATGATTTGTTATTTTTGCTACTGTTACTTCTCTCACCTAATAAATTTGTCATTTTGTTCTCTTCCCCTGGAGGCTCAGATGGTAAAGAATCTGCCTGAAATGTGGGAGACCCAGGTTCAGTTCCTAGGTGGGGAAGATCTCTTGGAGAAGGGCCTGGCAACCCACTCCACTAGGTGGGAAATACCACTAGGTATTCTTGCCTAGAGAATTCCATGGACAGAGGAGCTTGGTGGGCTACAGTCCATGGGGTCACAAAGAGTTGGACACGAATGAGTGGCTAACACTTTATTCTCTTACTGAGATGTGTTCAAGGACAGGCATCGTGTGTGTGCTTAGTCGCTCAGTTGGGTCTGACTCTTTGCAATCCCGTGGACTGTAGCCTGCCAGGCTCTGCTGTTCACGGGATTCTCCAAGCTAGAATACTAGAGTGGGTTGCCATTTCCTCCTCCAGGGGATCTTCCCCACCCAGGGATTGAACCCATGTCTCCTGCATTGCCAGGCAATTTCCTTACCACTGCGCCACCTGGAAAGTTTCAATATTATAGCTATAAGCATTTATCATTAAAAAATCATTTACTGTTTAGATGAAATTCAAATTTAACTAGACATCCTTTATTTTTATGTGCTAAATCTGGCAACCCTATGGGAATCCCCTTAAGTCCTGCCCACAGGCTGTATTGGACCTTCCATTAAACCTTTGTGGGGAAACCCTTTGATGGGTATCTTCCATTTCCTGCCATTGGCACAGGGGTAAAGAATCTGCCTTCAATGCGGGAGACACAGGAGAAGTGGATTCAATCTGTCGGTCAGGAAGATCCTCTGGAGGAGGAAACAGCAACCCATTCCAGTATTCTTGCCTAGAGAATCCCATGGACAGAGGAGCCTGGTGGGCTACTGTCCATGGGGGTCACAAAGAGTCAGACACGATGGAGAGACTGAGCATGCAGCATACACGCACGCACACTGACCCGTGTACATATCCACTGGCTTTCCTGAGGTTCTGGGCGTTGCAGCAGCAGCAGGCCCTGCCCGTTACAGACAGCGAGGCTTTGCCCCCAGCCTAGGTCAGTTAGCACACACTACCTCCTGCTGCTGCTGCTGCTGCTTCTGGCAGTACATGATGCCTGGAGGCCACGAGGGAGCCTCATGTCAGTCAAGATGCTAGGTTACCTGCATGGGGCCAGGCTCATTCAGCCTGTGCCTGAGAAGGACAGCTGAACAGACTCAGCCTCCCCCACAGGCCTGGATGTCTGGGAGGAGACCCTCTTGATGCCCAAAGCATTGTGGCTAGAGGCAGCTCCGGACAGTGGAGCATCCCTGAATCCCTAGAGTTGAATCTCAGCTCTGCCCACCTCCTGGCTAGGTAGCCTTAACTGCTCTGAGTTTATCTCCCCATCAGTAACTTGGAGATATTCTCAGCCCCAGAGTCACTGGGAAGAATATGTATGTAAAAATTTTGACACATTGAAGGTATTTAAAAAATAGGATTTATTTGTAAATGTTTCATAGTATATGCCTGTCTCACCCTGTGAGACCATGAATCCTCGAGGCCAGAAATTGTATCTGCCCAGGGCCCCACAGAGGGCAGGGCTCAGAAACATCAAAGGAGCGTCAGGTGTTGGGCTGCGTTCAACCCTGACAAAGATCGCAGAATCAGCAACAGTGTTCTTTCCCTGAGTTAAGCTTCTGGGAGGGAGAGGGGCCAAATCCAGACCTTTATCAGCCCTGAACCCTAAGGGTGAAGAATGAGAGAGTTAGCACCACCCTTTGGATGATCTTTTCCAGCTGTCAGGATCTCCTGCGCCTATCTTTTGTGTGGGTGTGATCAAGCTTGGCTGATGCATTAAGTGTAAGCTTTATCTATGTATTACATGACCCAGTGCTGGGAGACGGGGCTGGGACAGGGCATTAGGGGCAGAACACCTGCCAGACAGCAGTCAGGCCCGCCCGCCACCCTCTGGCACTTTCTGCCCCTCGGAGAGCCAGGACTGCTCTTCCAGGGCCGCAACTTGGCAGAACTCTCCCGATCGTGGCTGGTTTCCCCTGGTTGCAGACCACTCACCAGTTCTAGGATGCCCCGGGCCAGAAGCCCAGGAGTTTTAAGCTGGGTTATAAAAAGGGTAGAGGTGAAGGAGCACCCATTCAGGGAGCCCAGAGGTACAGCTCAGACACCCCTCCTCCCAGGTGACTGTAGGGCTCCTGAAGCCCCTGGTTCTACTGCTGGGCCAGCTGACTCCTGGTTTGACGTCAGGCTGGGTGTGGGCTCCATCCCTGGCCACCCAGCACAGGCCCCTTCTGGGCTTGGCAAAATAAACACAGTCAGCAACACCTGGCCACACAAGGCCAGAACCCCCTGGCCTCAGACCTCCAGGGCTCCCCATGCCCACATCTCACTCAATTCAATGTCTGAAGCCAGGTCAGGCCAGGACACTGGCAAAGTGGTGTAAACCAGGGAGGATCAGAAACACCTTGAAGATCAGAGGGTCCATCCCTCTGCCACTTGGTCACCAGCCAGAGACACAACCCCATCCGTATCCCAGATAATGCTGCCCAGGTGACATCATCTAGAGGAATAATGTAAACTAATGCAGAAGAGCAAGTTTCTGGGATGGATGAAAGGTGTTTTGCTTTTCTTTCTATTGATATTCTGCAGATGGTAGCTTATTGGAAAGATTGGATCTATCCTCTATGAAATTTAAAAAGCTGAATTGTGCTGTGGATCAACTCAAATCTTGCGGCAAATGGAGAAAGTGTTTCGATAAAGTTAACTATTACAGGCATTGGAGAAAGTGAAGTTTGAGTGTGTCTTCAAGCTGGAGGGGCCACCCACCACTCAATCTTGATAGTGCCTCTAGAGTTGAGCAGCCTGACCATTCCCTTGATAAGAACAAAAGAGACTCCCCTTATTATTAAGACTGCAATAATCATATCCAATTTACAATGGCATCAATTTACTGTTAAAACAATTTATAAGTTATGGTAATATTAATATAACAAAGATAGATGCTGGGGGGAAAAAAAGCCAGAAAAAAAGAGAATTCTAGATTCATACAGGCCTCTGAGGGAACCAAGGGTGTTTTGAGGACACTTCTGAGGCTGGCGTCCAGAGCAGCATACTTTCACATCTGTTGTTAGGTGGACTTGAGCCATGACATAGAGATATTCTGAGTTCTCTTTGTTTGGTCGTTTTAGCAACAAGTTGTCTTTCTGTGGCCACACGTCAGGGCCCAGAGGACCTGTGCTCAGTATGATCCTTCAGGTGGCCATAGCTCTGAGGGCAGCTGTGTGTGGTCGTAGGCTGGAGGGGGTCCCACTGACCAGAGCCGAAACAGCCCCCACATCCAACCCTCTCCCTGGAGGGTGTCATCCTGGACTCATTCAGGTGTCTGGTGGGACTTTCGAGTGACATGTTTCGTGTCTCATGGGATGGCGAGGTCGCTCCCACAGCCTCCTAGGTTTGTTTTGGGAAGGCCGCTGGGGATCATGCAGCCTTTCTTTCCCCTGAAATCTGGGGGCTCTCACTCAGCGGTAGCTGCTCCTCCCTCCCATATTCTCTTGCCTTAGAGGGTGCTGGTTTTATTTGTTGACATGAAATAAAGACTGCCGTCAGAGAACTACAGTTCAAGGTCTGCAACCAGAACAGCCGTGTGCAAGCCCCCACATATCAGGGGAAGGAGAGTGTTTTTCTAGAAGGAAAAGGAAGGTGGGAGGGCTCTAGTAAGCAAGGAGTCCATGGCTTTTCATTGGCTGAGTCCTCACCAGGAAAGAAGAGCAGTCTTTCTTCTTCCTCTTCAGTCTGCTATGGTTGCACGGCCAGAGAGCTCTCCCTTCTGGTCTCCGAACTCTATTAATTGAAATGTCTATTTATTAATTTTTTTACATATTCCGTTGCCACCCCTTCTCTACCCTGATCTGCCCCAGGGGCTGACAGATAACTGACTGAGCCACTCATGTGTCCCTGCTTCATGGCTTCTACTTGCTTTGGGATGGCACTCACAGAAGATAGCAAGTTAGGAGGAGAGGAAGGACTAGGTATTCACCCCCTTTTTTACACACACATCCACATACACCCTCTTTTGCAGGTGACACAGTTCCCTCCCCTGGTCCCTTCAGCTTAGAACTACTCATACTTCCTCTGATGTTAGTTCTACGGGCTTAAAAAATTTTTTTTTCATTAGAGTATGGTTGATTTGCAATGTTGTGTTAGTTCAGGTGTACAACGAAGTGAATCAGTTATACATTTACAAGTATCTATTCTTTTTCAGATTCTTTTCCCATTTAGGTTATTATAGAATATCGCGTAGAGTTCCCTGTGCTATCCAGGAGGTCCTGTTGCTTATCTGTTTTATATATAGTAGTTTGTATGGTTCTAGATGCCTTGACATCCCTTTGGCTTCCTTGATTCCATCCACACCGCTGACCAGTCCTTTAATTCTTTTCTGTTAAACCTTTGTGAATTCCAGCCAGGAAGGCTGCCGCAGAGAGGCCTCACTGCTCTCCTAACACACTGGACACCTCAGGGCCTCCACAATGGTTCAGGAAAATCCCTGAGCTAAAGACTGGGTCTCAGTTGTTGGGCAGTGTTGATGCCATCTATTGCATTTCTCAGATTTTCCTTTCCCCCGGAACTCTGGTGTCTGATAATCTGAGAAGTTTTGGAAGCTGCTCTTTCTGCCTGGGCCTGTCTGCATACAGTGGTCACTGTCCCTCTAATTCTAAGACCTTTCTAGTCACTAGATGTTTTGGCAAAATCATCATAATCTTTCCAGGAGACAAGACCACCAGATGTATCCCAAGACCCTGGATAGTTATGACACCACCTTGACCATCATCATCATTGCCATCACTTCAAAAACATGACTAGCATAGCACGGATGGTTTAATTTGCATCACATGCAGCAGAGGCTGGGGTAAACTACCAAGGGAATTTTAAACCTTGGGCTCCTGCAAACTGGAAGCTGAGAGTTTGCTCACCTTCCACCCGACTGAATTGTTCTAAACCCGGCTCCAGGGGCAGGGACAGGGCGACGTTCAGTACTGTGGCGTCCGAGGGGTGCAGCCCCGCGTTGTGAACCAGAAAGAACGCTCGAAGGGCTCTCCTGACGTTGACAGTCGACGGTTTAAGACCTCGCTAGACACTGTATGTGAAGCATTCCCAGAACTGTTCAACCAACTCAACAGCAGCTACTTCCCTGTGACTGGATCCTGATTAAGGTCCTCCCAAGAAAGACTTCATTGGATCCACGCTCAAGAGGACACTGCCAAGTTTTCCTGACCCCTCTACATCACTATAAAGCGCTAAGGCCTTAAGACTTGGTTACTTGTATTACAACGGCAAGAGTGCCAGCACCCACCAAAGACTCATTGGACTGTCAGCTTCTGTTTCACCAAACAGACATAATAACTTACCAGCAAAGCAGAGTAAGCCAAGTGCCTCTGCACATACCACCAGCTGATAACACACAAGAAAAAGTAACTTAGACTAGAACCCTGTCTTTTCTTAAGAAGCTGAGATTTAAAGGAGCTCTTGTGACATCTGTGCTGCTAGTAGTGACTGATAACATAGACTGGATCAGTCCCTGAGTTTGGAGACTGGCTACAAGTGAGTGAAAAATAGACAAAGAAATCTTGAAGAATTGCACGGAGGTGCAAGCCAAATTTTATCCTCTCCAAGTAATGGTGGTTGGACTGAGAAAGTGCTAAACCAAAACTGTAATAGGTCTGGTTACTTGGGTGTCTCTCTGTATTATCATTGTTGCCTCTTACTGTTACATTTGCTGTCTGTGTTGTCTCTCCAGATCCCAATGTTTTCAGATAATTCACATTGCCCTGACTGTGGGCAGCAGTGGTTCCCTAGTTTAGAACTAGGCCATTGGTTGTACCAAACTGAACTGGTTGAGAATGAATGTTACCAAGTCTTCTTAGACTGTATTAACAGAGCTGATTATTGCCCTGAGTGTTACCCTGATAATCCTGCTAATAGAAGCCTTGTTCTTCCTTGGTCTTTCCCACTTGAGTGGGCTCCTCAAAATCTTACCAGGTGGACCTTTGAAAAAGCTTGCCACCCATTTCTTCTGGGTCCTCCACTGGTTAGAAAAAGAATACATGACTCTAGAGTTGCTGGTTTTAACCCTGCATTACAGTTAATCCTGACAAGGACAGACAAAACCTTAAACAAAAAACTTGGCCAAAGCAAGTAACTTCTTTAAACAGTCAAGATCATGGAGACTCTAGAGGGTTTTGTACTAGTAGCCCAAGGAAGATGGAAAAATGACTCCTTTCTATATCTGATCCAGACTGTCACTGCTTTGGGAAACTGCTTAAATTGTTGGATCTGCTTCCAGGGTCTATGCATCTCTCGTTCAGCATGAATTTAATTATTAGTCCAAGCCAGACTGTTCCTCTGGAACCTGACTAATCCATATTTCCTATGTTTTGGAATTAGCTTGCTCCTCCTAAAAGTCTCCACAGCCTAATCATTGACGTTATTATGACAAGGTAGTCCTGGAGGAGAAGCCTTATACTGTGTGTACTTTAATTCTAGTAATAACTTTTGTGGGAAAGCATCCTTGTAGTTGAATTCTAGATTATTCCAGTAAAACAATTAGACATTTAATAAGAATCTATATTCTCAATTCCACCTCTTACATATTAATCAGTGATAATTATATATATATAAGATTTATTCATATCTAACCAAATATTCATCATTGGCTCTATTTGGTTTATTCTCAGTGGGCTTTGACCTTCCTTATTAACTGGTCACTGTCAGAGAAACCACATTCAATCAGGCAATACCTGTATAGGTTACAGAATAATATGCAGAAATGCCACTATCTAGTTACTTGGCTCTACGTAAGCAAAGACTATCCTGTCTTTGTGGTTGACTGAACTTAGAATGTCCTCTGGAAATGGAAAAGTACCTGTATTAGGAGCTAGGTGACAGAAGGAGTTATCAAACTTGACTCCATATAGATTATGAACAGTTTAGGGGAAGCATTTTTCTTAGAACTAAAAAGGACTTACCTGACATTGGCCTCATTCTGGCCTTCACTTGTTCATAAGAATCATGGAACCAGAGTTTGAGTTAAGAAACTTGGAAAAAGCAGCTGAAAACATCTCAGAGTCCACTTAACAGTTTAAAAATTTCACTTAAGATGCTAAATAATCCATTGCTTGTGTAGCAACTCAACAATGGTCTCAAGGTCCCAGGTTCTTTCTGTCTTTCCCCTCTGGGATCCTTATTGTATTGGCTTTTTGTCCTCATAGTTGTTTTCTCAGTGAATACAATGTAGCTTGTTGCTGTTCCAGACATTTCAGTCTCTCTCAGACTGGAAGTAGGGAGCAAAAACTTTGTTCTTTCAAGTCTCCATTTTTTATTTGGGAAGAAAATCTCTCTCTCAAAAGTCCCTCAGATTTTTCCTTGCATTAATTACATCAGGGATTTTCCCTTACATCCTTGATTCAGAAGGGGGCCTGGGAAACCTGACAGAGGGGAATGGAGTTGACATTGCCTGGGTAGGACACGTTGTCTCCCCTAATAAAATCAGGGCTCTTTGAGGAAGAAGTGAGGGATGAATGGCTGTTGGTATGCAGCAAATCATGCCTGCCACATGTTGTTTAAAGTCATTTGTTAGTCTGTATAAAGAATGTACCCCAGAGATCTACCCTGTATCTGCCTTATGTCTGTCATGATTGACGTTCTCTTCTGTTCTATTGCTGAATAAATTGTGTATGGACTGCTAAAATAAATAAATAAATAAATAAACCTGGCTCCATTCTCAAATGCCATTTTCTCTGTGAGGTCTCCCTTCCTTGGCAGAATCAATTATAGATTGTGACCCCATGATGTCTAGGGGTCACTGTGATCACACTGTGTTAGTTACTTACTTACCTGCTGATCCCCATCCTGTCAATCAGCACTTGGATCAGGCAAGTCCACATTTTCTAGATGTTCACTGAGTGTGTGTTACAAAACATGCCTCAGATTTAATTTGCTCAGGATCAAGGCCGAGAAATTCATCCAGACAGTTTCATTTGCCTTTCCTGAAGACCAGTGGGAACCAGAAACACTGTAGAACTTTACTTTCTTTCTTTTTTTCTTTCTTTCCTTTCTTTCTGTCTATTTTTGGCCTTGCCAGGAGGCTTGAGAGATCTCAGTTCCCTGACCAGGGGTGGAACCCATGCCTCCTACAGTGAAAGTGTGGAGTTCTAACCACTGGACTACCAGGGAATTCCCCCCAGGATTTTCAATGGTTGGAAAAAGAGCCCACATCACAGGAATGTCCTTTGCTGAGATTCATAAGCAAAAGAAACACCTGGCCTCAGGTCAGGGGGCGCTGGCTGAAATCCAAGCTCCACTGCTTATTGCTGGGCAACCCTCAGCAACTGACTTCAGCGCTCACCTCAATCCCTTCATCTGCAGTAAGAACTGAATGCAAGAATGGATGCGGAGAGTGTGGCCCCACAAGGAAGTATGGTAAGAACAGGAGTCCCCTAGGTGAGTCCTAGTGTTGCAAATCCTGCAAAAGCTGCACAGTCAGAAGGGCTGGTGCCCCACCCCCAACCCAGGAATATGTTTGGCAAAATGAGAGATGGACTGTTTGGCTGGGCTTTGGATTTGCCAAGTAAAGTACACAGACAGCCCGCAGTTTAGAAGAGGGAGGAATTGGGGAGAGAGCTCGCTGGAGCTGATTGGTCGGAGAGGCAGAAGAAGGAGATTTGGGAGGCAGAGAGAAGGAAGAGGAACTGCTCTGGGGAGAAGAGTTTAGGGAAGAATAGATTCATAGCAGGCATTTCTGAGTGTAGGATAACATGTCTTCACTTTGAAATCCTTAGTAAGACTTACTCTGGGCACTAGTGTCTTGGTGGTGGATATGCCATTTAAGGGGCTCCAGTGATGAGCTGAGACTGGCCACAAGGGAAATGAGATGAAGAACATGAGACTGTCCCCAAAGCTCTGGTCACACTGGGCTACACAGGGGCTGGGCTGGACTGATTTAGAAAGGACAATAGCAGGCATGTAACAGAGGAGCATAACAGCCTTCATCCCCATTGATTCAAAGCCCATTTGACCCCCTCTCTCCCTGGAGGGCAGGTATCGAATAGGGGGTCAGAGCTTGAGTCTTCTTGCAGACACTTAGACTCATGTCCTTGGAAGATTCTGGCCAGTCAATGAAGATGAGCTTCTAAGTACTGAGTGCTAACACTTGCAATTCCTTTGTATCTGAGTGTATGGCTGGCAAAATTTCCTACAGAAAGAAAAGCCAGTTTTAGATAGAAAAAATAGAGCTCATCCAAGATGATGTAAGTTTTTGTACCTCTGAGAGGAGGGAAGATGATGAAATTCACATTCTCAGAAGGCCTTTAAAAACATGAGTTAATCATGGTGTAATAAACCAGGTTTTTGCTGATCCGAGTGATAAGAAAATGGTTAATATAGATTTCATTTCCATAGGCCCTTAGGATAGTCTCTTGATGTGTGAATGTAAATACACAGTGTCTGCTGTCCTGGGAATGGTCTTACCACCAATCAATAATGAAGTCACAGTGTAGGGCCAATGCAGAAGAGGTTGTTCTACATCATAGCTCGCTGTGCCTCCACTTGCCTTCATCTCTGATGGTTTGAACACTCTTTTATGATGTCTGTTCACTTGATTCATTCCTTCCCTTTGCTGCTGACTGCTCACCAAAGTGAGAGGAACAGGAGTGCTGGAGGCCAGTGAGAACTAACATTCACTGACATTCAGTCTTTCATAACATTAATAACATTCATAGTCTTTCATGTGGCAGGCACTGTGCTAAGTGATCTGTGCACATTCCATGTGTATTGCTTGAGGAAGGTGGTGTGTTGTCCACAGTTAGGTGCAAGGATCCACATATCAAGAATTGTGAAGGTGCTCATATTTTATCCACTTGCAGTCTCATAACTTAGCCTGCTACAGTTTCATGGATGCTGATAGGAGATATGAGACTTTTGGATTAGAGACAAAGACATCATTCCTCAGAGCTTAGCAAGCAACCTTAGTTTTGGGCTTATACCAATTCTCCTTACCCCTCAAATCCCATGAGGCAATATGGACGGGATCCTATGGATGCTGCACATGCATAGCTGAGGAACCATGAGTTTAGGAAGCTCTAATTTTTTATTATGGGCTGCAAGCAAACCCACTCAAATCTTGTCTTGGAGGGAGACATTTATCTTTATTGTACTAGACAGTGGACTACTCTGGGGGGAGACACTGCCTGTATTCCAAGACTCTTCATTAGAGAAGCATCCTTGAATAGACGTGCAGGACAAAATCTGCACCCACAAGGCCTGTAGAAGCATGAGGGATCAATGAAGAATCCTCGCCTGATGCTGGTGCGTGTGTGTTAGTTGCTCAGTCGTGTCTGACTCTTTGCGACCCCATGGACTGCAGTGCTCCAGGCTCCTCTGTCCGTGGAACTCTCCAGGCAAGAATACTGGAGTGGGTTGCCATTCCCTCCTCCAAGGGATCTTCCTGACCTAGGGATCAAACCCAGATCTCTTGCACTGCAGGCAGATTCTTTAGCATCTGAACCACCACTTGTATGTATATTAAATCACATTTGTTCATTGCTTTTTAAAATTTCTAACTTTTTTTGTGCCTGACCTATCAATGCTTGACAGAGTTATGTCAAAACCCCTCACCATCAATGATGAGTTTGTTCATTTCTCCCTGTAATTCTCTCATTTTTTTTTCTTTATATATTTTGAGGCTAACTAAATAGATGGTACACAAATAGTGTTGAGGTATACAGGTTTAGAACTGTTATATCCTCCTGGTGAATTGGACATTTTGTCACTATGTTGTGATCTTCTTTATCCCTAATAATATTTTTGGTTTAAAAATTCTGTTTTGTCTAATGTCAGCTTTCTTTCAGTAACAATTTGCTGGAACTTTCTTTTCCCATTCTTTGATGTTGAACTTTTTCATACCGTTTTCCCCAGACATGTCCCATGTAAGGAGCATATAGCTAAATTTCTTATCCAAGTAGATGAACACAATCTTTTAAATGGAGAATTAAGAATAGTTAAATTTATTGTGCTTTTGATACGTTTGCTTTTTTTAACCATCTTACTTCGAGTTATCTGACCCATTGTTCTGAATTTCTCCCCCTACCTGTGTTACTTATGCAGGTCAAGAAGCAACAGTTAGAACTGAACATGGAACAACAGACTGCTTCCAAATTGGGAAAGGAGTACGTCAAGGCTGTATATTGTCACCCTGCTTATTTAACTTTTATGCAGAGTACATCATGAGAAATGCTGAGCTAGATGAAGCACAAGTTGGAATCAAGATTTCCAGGAGAAATATCAATAATCTCAGACATGCAGATGACACCACCCTTATGGGAGAAAGTGAAGAAGAACTAAAGAGCCTCTTGATGAAAGTGAAAGAGGAGAGTGAGAAAGTTGGCTTAAAGCTCAACATTCGCCCATCAGCAGATGAATGGATGAGGAAGCTGTGGTACATATACACCATGGAATATTACTCAGCCATCAAAAAGAATTCATTTGAATCAGTTCTAATGAGATGGGTGAAACTGGAACCCATTATACAGAGCGAAGTAAGCCAGAAAGATAAAGACCATTACAGTATACTAACACATATATATGGAATTTAGAAAGATGGTAACGATAACCTTATATGCAAAAAAAGAAAAAGAGACTCAGATGTATAGAACAGACTTGTGGACTCTGTGGGAGAAGGCGAGGGCGGGATGTTTCAAGAGAACAGCATCGAAACATGTATATCTAGGGTGAAACAGATCACCAGCCCAGGTTGGATGCATGAGACAAGTGCTCAGGCCTGGTGCACTGGGAAGACCCAGAGGGATGGGGTGGAGAGGGAGGTGGGAGGGGGGACCGGGATGGGGAATACATGTAAATCCATGGCTAATTCATTTCAATGTATGACAAAAACCACTGCAATGTTGTAAAGTAATTAGCCTCCAACAAATAAAAATAAATGGAAGAAAAAAAAAGAAAATTTTTTCTGTTAATCACAGATCTATTGTTTTGGTAGGACGACATGTCACTTTAACTGTTGAAAATCCAAACTGAAATATGCTCTAAGTACAAAATACGCAGCGTATTTCAAAGACAGTATTTAAGATAAGTTTAAATATATCAATATTTTAAATATTTTAAGTTTATTAATATTTTTATACTTTTGCATGATAAGTATATTATTAACAGGTTACATATATACATTTTTGCATGTTGGATTTGTTTTGTTTGAGAAAATAAATTATCAAAATTAAAAAAAAAAAAAGCTCAACATTCAGAAAACTAAGATCATGGCATCCAGTCCCATCATTTCATGGCATATATATGGGGAAACAATGGAAATAGTGGCTGACTTTAATTTTGGGGGCTCCAGGATCACTGCAGATGGTGACTTCAGCCATGAAATCAAAAGACGCTTGCTCCTTGGAAGAAAAGTTATGACCAACCTAGATAGCATATTGAAAAACAGAGACGTTACTTTGCCAGCAAAGGTCCGCCTAGTCAAGGCTATGGTTTTTCCAGTGGTTATGTGTGGATGTGAGAGTTGGACTATAAAGAAAGCTGAGCACCAAAAATTGATGCTTTTGAACTGTGGTGTTGGAAAAGACGCTTGAGAGTCCCTTGGACACCAAAGAGATAAAACCAGTCCAACCTAAAGCAGATCAGTCCTGAATATTCACTGGAAGGATTGATGCTGAAGCTGAAACTCCAATA